TATATATATATATATATCTGAAATGATGATATGGAAATGATATCAAAGAAGTATGAGGAATGAATACAGTTTGAAAAGAGAATGAGGTGATATAGGTTATATATTGTATTGTATTCTGTATCCTATTTCACCATAGCCTAACTCCCATCTCATCTCCCTTCATATATAATCCAGCATTCTCTTGGCATCAGTTGTTCTTCTAGTTCCCCCTATGTTGGTTAATTATGCTCTCTCAAACAAATATTTTTACTCTCTCCAGCTTCTTATATCTGCATTGCTGTTCCCTTGGACTTAAATCTATATTTGTTCATATTTGTCCTTACCTCTATTGTTCTTATGACTCACACTGTTTAAAATTTGGATTTGTCGCTCATTTGTGGTAGGGACCTGTTGTCTTCCTTACATGGCCCTAAGTTGCTATATGCACTGACACATTAATAATAAAGTAATTCAGTGAATTATCCTATTTAGAGTAATGAAATTAAATGTGCAAATAAAACCATGAATATTAATTTTGCCACTAATTCTTAAGTAATAATAAATTACTACATTATTGTCCTGGAATGAATTGTGTATCTTAAACATTTTTTTTCAGACTCTTAGTGTACCATCTTCAACCAATGGCCAGTTTGTGGCTCCAAGCGATATTCAGTTGAAATGCAATTATTGTAAAAATACTTTCTACTCAAAGCCTGAAGTACTGGAATGGGAAGTAAGTAAATGATGCTCTGATCTGTTGTTAATTTAATTGCATGCAAATTATTCACCTTGCTTAATCATTAATAACATACTTTTCATCCTTTAATATTCCATACTTTAGCCATGGTTGTTTTAATTAATGCTTTTTAAGCCTGCTTGGCTGATCATTTCCTATTTTTTTCTTTCTTTTAGCTGCCATTTGAACCCCTAGATTGATTAGAGCTTCATGTCACAGAAACAAACCAGAATTATTATTTTTTATTTATTCACTGGGGCTTATATGCCTCTCCAATCCAGCAGGACTAATCCAGCCACGAAAAGTCATCCATCCCCATTTGCAATGATAATGCTATAATAAAGTGATGAATAACCATAACTTTATTTTGGTACTTGTTGTAATTATTCACACCAATGTATTCTCTATGTGTGCAGAATAGATTCGGAACCTTCCAGGGTTTAAGAATTTTGACCACAAAACTGTTCCTTTGCTTACAGTGCTTTCCCTAGGCATGGCTCCCATTCACCTTTCAGTTACTTTTTCATGCCGAAGCAGTAGCACATTTATTTATTTATTTGTATTTATTTTACATCCAACTGCAAAGACTTTGGACGTGCAACACATCGAAATTATAAAACCATCAACAGAAATAAACGAATAAAACAACAACAGTAATATAAAATCAAACTCCCTGAAGACAGATGTCAGTAAAACTTAGAATTGAAGGTCAAGTTAAATAAAACCTTCTAAAAGCTATGGTCTTCCAAAAACCATAGAAGAGGATGCTTTATGAAATCTGGGGATAAAAAGTTCTAAAGTATGGAGCCACAGTGAAGGCCTATCATCTTATTGATGTTCTCCTTCTTCAGGTAGAGGGGAGAATTCTAACAGGTCTTTCCAAGCTGTTTTCATCAGATGGGAAGATCCATTTTTGACAAGGCAGTGCTTGGTGTAACCCAAATGCTACTCTGTACAGGTCTTAAAAAAAAAAAAGTACCATAAATCATGTACAGTACCATCAACACTTTCAGAAGAAACACAGCCTGGTTGAGAATAACTGCTGGGATTGAGGTTCTTGGATATTTATTGATGAACAGCAACTCAATTTTGGAGAGATTTATTTTGAGCTTATTTTGAGTTTAATAGATACTAGACACTGGTTCAAGCTTTCCATAGCAGCTCTGGCTTGGTCCAAGATAGTAATGTACACCTTAGAATCATCTGCTTCTGATGTTAATCTATAAAGCAGATGTTGTTGCTAATGTTCAGAAATACCAAAGCTGCAATAGTAAGCATCCCTCATCAGACAGGCATAGCCATTACCTATTTTTCAAGGAGAGGACCATGTTGTACTTGACATTCTGCAAGTGCTGCCAGGCAAATCATATTGCTTCCTAAGGATCCTTTGTGAGAAAGAACTAAAAGTATTTAATTTCCCACATGAAATGCACATCAGTGCCCAAAGTCTTAAATGTAATTTACAAGTTTGATTATGACCTGATGGTGGTGACTATAGATGTACTAGGCCATTTGTCTGTGGACTCAGGTACTCTTGCCCAGTTGCTATTTAGCCCCATGTAGTATTTTGAGAATTCGTACTGGATGACAATTGCCTCTCCTGTTCCAGTATCCCCTTTTAATTCAGTCACATTAGAGGTGTTTAGTCTACATGTCAGTGAAGGCAGCATCTCACTCAGTGAATAAATAATGTAAGAATCCTTTCTTTGAGGATCTTTTCCTTTGGGAAAAGATGTTTTTCTTCACCCATTTGCCAGATAATAGTAGGTTGTTAGCACAGGCCTTTCGCTCTAAAGCCAGTAGTATCACCCAGAAAAAATTCAATATAATTAGGCACACTGCAGGGCCTGCAGCTAAAGCATTGGCCATCTCACTTAATGCTTTGTGCCCTGCTTTGGTCTGCTCTGTAGTCTGATAGAAGAACTGAAGCCTAGATCATTTGGTGGGATGGCTTGTTCAGCATGATAGGGTGAAGAAAATCAGTTTTAAAGTCTGCTGCTTGGCACCTTGTCCTTGGTACTACTCATCTTTTAGATTTCTCTGGTCTCCATTGCTAACTGCCTCCCCCTCCCCCTCTCACAATTTAAGGAGATTTTATACCAAACTCTTCAGAATAAGACTGACACCAAATGGCACCTTTGATCAGCATCTTCCCATGGGCCACTGGCCTGCTTTGGTGTTACTGCAGACAACTCATTTGTGTAACAACTTGGAATTGCCACTGGAAGTTCTACAAACTTTTTGCACCAAATATCTGGTCGAACGATCATCTCACTAGTCCTGTGTCACAATGCATATGCATGTGTACTGTCAAACCAGTTCTTTGCCAAGAAACACTTTGATTTCAACTCCAAATACTTTGCCATCCAAAAGTGGGATATAGTTTCACCCTGTACGGAACACAAGGGATGCCAATTTCTTTCCACTTCCTGATTTTTTTTTTCTTACGGTTATTCTGGCTTATTCTGCCATTATTTTATGATGACTCATGGCATATGTGGGCCTGGCATTTTATGATTGGCTTGAACAATTTTCAGTTTTGAATTCCCTTACCTTTTGCTACATCTCTCCAAGTGTTTACCAGCTATGTGCTAATTTGAGAAATCTCACTTGACTCCTTTGCAGATGAACATTCAGTCAGGATGACAGAGCAAATAGCACCCAGTGCTTGGTGTGCTCCATCTTCATTTTTTTTCTTAAGCCAAAGGATTGGAGTTTGTCTTCTCACTATGGGTCTACTTTGTTGCTATCTTGGACTATTGTCCTTATGAGAGTCCATTGCTATCTTGGACTATTGTCCTTATGAGAGTCCGTCAGTTTTCCCTTATTAGAGTATTGAATGGATTTAATATATCCTTTTCCATTTTGACTATTCCACTGGTGATGTGGAGGTTTTCTTTGGTTCTGGCAATGTTGTGGCTTTGTTATACAAGTCAATAATTACTGTTTAATTCAAGTGGCTTCATGGAAAATGGCCTTTTCGGTTGGTATTTCTTCAGGACATATAGGAGAATCTAGTGCTCTGTGAGCTGATTCTTTGCACCCCGATTCTTTTTCTTCTATTTTTTTTTATTGAATCTGAACTTTAACTGTTATTTAATGAGAATGTTATATTGCCTACCTTGTTCTGTGCCCATCCTTATGCCTGTAGCACTTGCTACATATTCTTAGTGTCCTACTCTGAAGAGATCACAATCAGTTTTTGTGCTTTGCTGGTCTGCAGAAAAGACAGATGCTTTCTTTACAGCGGGTGTCAAAACTGATTACTGCTGCAGCAAGGTCTACTACAGATTGGTAGAGCAAGCTTGTTTGAGAATCAAAGAGCATTTGACCAGGGCAATGGGTATATCAGCAGCATGTGTCTATAGAAGGCACGTAGAAGATTTAGGTGCAGCCAAAAATATTCATTTGGTATCACCAACTGGATCTTGAAGCACAGCAGGAGTAGCTTCCTTTAATGGAATGATTTTGTCATCCATTGCTGCCTGAAAATTCCGATCTATTGCTATTCTTCCCTTCTGTGAATTACAGACACCATCATGAAGAAATACTGGTTGCTCACTGGTAACTCTATATCTTTGCTTCCCATACTCCATCTTTCCTCCACTGTCATGCAGCTTTTGTTTTGATTTGTTTTGTGGTTGGTTGCCAGACTCAGGAATCTGAAGAATAAACACGAGCTACAACCAGGCATATATATTGTAAGCAGAGAAGCAGGTTCCCACCAAAATTCTTAAGCTCTGGAAGGTTCTGAACTTATTCAACATAGGTACAGAATCTATTTGTGTGAATTCACAGATGAGCTCTCAAATTGTAACAATTATAGGTAAATAACTAATTCTTTTATTTGGATAAAATGAAATGTTTTTGTAGAGAGTAAGGAAGATGACTGTGATGGAGATAGATGAGCTACATTACCAAAGCAATGATGGGAAAAACATAATGTATTTATTGGTGTATAACATGCACTTTTTTCCTTAAAATTTGGGGCTGAAATCCTAGCTGCATGTTATACGCCGATACTCAAGCAGCAGGGCTGGGAGAGTGGAGCCTTCATTTGAGCCAGGGCTGTAACC